ATCTGATCTTCCTTGAAAGGGACACATATATCCATTCTTGTTTCTTTTGGAGCTTATTTAAGTTAAATAGTACCTTGGTTTTAGAAGAAATGTCTTTTGGAACTTTATTTCTTTCTCTTGAACCATTTATTTCCTCAATATGATTGTTTTTTGACGTAAGAATTTTATGAAGTGGATCGTTACAAGAATTTTCACTCACTCTCAGTCCCCCAATTTTTTTTTTCTTTTTACTAATTTATAGTGTGGAATGTTAATTCTATTCATAGCCTTGAATAGTTTTGTTTATTTTTCTTTGTGATATCGTAAAAAGTGAACACTAACTAGGTTAGATGAACAAGGTTAGCTGAAATTATCATGAAACTGAATGTCTGAAATAAAAGAAGTCTTCAGAGAGGAGGATTTGATACTCCATGTCCGTGGAAGTCAGTCTATTAGGTTTGTTGAATAAGGTGAAACAAAATTTAACCCTATTGGAAATGAATAACCCTAGTCTGAATCCATTGTACAAATCTATCTGGTAGGTTAAGAGAGTTGAAGACTTTACCCAAGATCCAGAACTTTCTGTGGAAAAGTCTGATTGATAGGATAGCTTGGTGATGGTAGCTAACATTGTGAATAGAGCCTCTGCAGAAGCTCGGGATTGGTTCGATATGAATCTAGAAGAAAGTAACCACACGCAAGATCAATATCATTGCTCCCATAACTAGGTGCAACGTTGACACCTCTTGGTCCAAGGAATCATACATAATCTGTGTAGGATGGATCATGAGGGATGACAAAGGCTTGGTGAGGTGGGTTGGTGCAAAAGCATATCCCCACTTGTGGTCGGCTCTGGAGGCAGAAGCTGAAACATTGTCTTGTATTGGTAATTGAGACTTTGAAACTGATTCAAAAATTACTTATGCAGACTGCCAACAATCCATCTACTTGGCCGAGCTTACAGAAGTACACTTGAGAAATTTTGGACACTACGACTCTGATTCGTTCGGAGGGTTTGACATAAATGGTGTTACCAAAAAGTAAATATAATTAAGTGTCCCAAAAGCCATGCCCACAAAAAAAAAAACAAAAGCTTAAAAAGGTCTTAGAGTACCGGATTAAGTGTTTAACACTAATGCTTTGAAACTTGCTTGATGATGTCTCTGTATATCACTGGGTATAAGCTCTGGCTCAACCAAACCCATGACAATCTTACATCTTTTAGACTTTCTTGGAATCTTCTTGATTTTCTTCATCATCTTACCGAAACTCTCGCTTAAACTCAGTTCCTTCAAGACTACACAATTCCTCAGAAAGTATGTTGCTAATTCCATCTGGCTCCATGTTTTTTTCATGACTGGTGTCCTTACCCTAACAAACTCGAGAGACGATACGAAACATGGCGTCGGCACATACAAGAGTTTGTCTGGTTTCGTCTCTGTAAGGGACTCAAATTCCTGACAGTACAACCAAAATAAAGAGATATATTCAAGGTTTCTTTTTCGGATTACGGAATTTACATGAGAACACATAAAGATGTACCAGGACGAGTGAGTGTAGATTCGGACAACAACCAAGAAATGTTGGCAACAATTCCCAAGAAGATTCAAGAAACGAAGCATGTAACCGAGTCAAGTTAGAGAATTGAGGTAACATTTCCACTCTGGAGTAATCATCGATGACCTGTGTGATCACAATCAAAAATTATACCGAGAAATGTCACAAATCGTATACAAAATATGTTATTGAATCATCAACCATGTGTGTATGCATATATATACCTTTAGAGTAGCCGTAGAGATCTTCATGCCGCTGACTTTAGATATCCCGGTGAGGAAATTACTGATCATAGTTCTATTGGT